GGGCGGTTTGACCCGCCTCCGGCCGGGGGGGACGCGGCGTGAGGAGCGGAGAAATGGAGCTACGCAGCTTCCTCAAGCTCCCAGTTCAACTGGTGTTTTACAGAACGCCCGTGAATCGGGTGAGGCGGAGGGAGGGGAAAACATCCAAATGAATTACGCTGACTTTGCCTCACGATAGCCCTAACGTTATAAATGCACAGATATCCAAATTGGAAAGAAAAAAAATAATGAGGAGATGCATCATTGATCCCGTGTGTCTATTTATACAAGACCAAAACGTTTCGTTCTGTTAGGCCGATGAATTTTCTCCTATTTCCCATTCTCTGTCAACCTGCCCTCCCGTTCATTTACAAAAGGCTGTGGATCTCCACTGCTCCACGGCATCCACATGATGCCGTCATCATGCCCGGAGACCCTGGGAACACCAGACCTACTTCTGTCTCTGAGGCACACAGGTGCTCTGGGAAGTTCTGCTCAGAACTTTATCATTTTACCTATTCCTGTCATAATACTACTGTAAAAAGTCAGTCTCTTGTTCGGGCGTCCTGGCAAGATTAGAAAACAAAGCCAGACTAGTTATTAAATCCATTTACTATCACAGATAGAATTATTTCCAGAGACAGAAACACTGTGAGGAAAGGGCATGGGAAAGAAATTGAGTAAATTGGGCAAATATCCTATTCCAAACCTGCATTTACTCATGGGGGAGAAGAAACACCAGAATTTGAACTGTTGGCATAAAGCTCCAGAGGCCACTAGAGAGGTCTGTGCAACTGGTGAGGTCCCCAATTTGCATCAGTGTAAGATTTTTGGCTGAGAGAACCATGAGAATATCCCTGTCCGTTAGAGAAAAACCTGATACACAACAAAACTTCACAGAAGCGTGTGTTTTTCGAGGAGACCAAATTACATCGTTTCTATACTGATGCTTTTGGAAGAATAGGGCATGCTTAGAAAAAAAAAAAGGCAACCTATGAGATAAATGTTGATAACTAAAAAGGTCTGGAGAGGTATGACACATGCCAGTCAAAGTATACAGACGCTCTCCAGCCCCATCGACAGTTTCTACCGAAGGAAGCCAAGCTTTTGGTAGGATCCCAAAACTGAGCCATGGATTACCACGTCGTACGGGTCCGTGGCCACATTCCGCACAGGCTGACACATCTCTGCCCCAGGATGCGACTGCAGCCTTCACAGCTGCTCGAGAGAGGTGCTTTGTACCTGCCTTTAAGGAACAGAGCTTTTGGGGGTGTTTGATAATTCCAACTGCACAAAGAATTACTATTTGGAGACAATTCAGAGAGACAGACTCTTCTCTTGGAAGATAAAGCTACTGGCTGGACACCTATACTGCACGATATTTAACATGTGCGCACAACTCAAAAAGCAGCATGGCTGAGGATTCAAAGGCAACATTTAACATGTGCGCACAACTCAAAAAGCAGCGCGGCTGAGGATTCAAAGGCAAGTGACACCAGGCAACAGACTCTCCTTCAAAGCTCTGAGAAAGAAGGTACCAAATAATAACACAAAATTAATCAAAAACTATTTGATTTTTAAGGACCAAGATAGTGCACTGATTTCAGTGCAAGGCTTCAAGCTGATGCTGTTAAGCCACAATGGAAGAGAAGTCATAGACTACACCAAGCCAACCCAAGGCATCTCACTCTGCTCTCATGAGACCCCTCTGCAGTGCTGCATTCAGCTCTGGGTCTCCAAATAAGAAGGACATGGAGCTGTTGGAGCAGGTCCAGAGGAGGCCACAAAGATGATCTGAGGGCTGGAGCACCTCTCCTATGAAGACAAGTTGAAGGAGCTGGGGTCGTTCAGCCTGAAGAAGAGAAGGCAGCCTTCTAGCAGCCTTCCGATACCTAAAGGGGCTACAAGAAAGCTGGAGACGGACTTTGGACAAGGGCATATAGTGATAGGACAAGGGGAAATGGCTTTAAACTGAAAGAGGGCAGATTTAGATTAGATAGAAGGAAGAAATTCTTCC